TGATGGGTTTCCTTATTGAAGTAGTTGCTTATCTCATTTTATTGGTGCGTGTTTTGTTGATGTCTGTATATTTTATTATCAAATATCCCTGTTGTTTATAGTGCTTTATGATTTAATTTGTTTATTTTGTTAGAATTAACGTGCTAAGTTTTTGAATGTGTAAGCATATCCGAACAGAATAGCGAAGAATTGTTCATTGAATGTATTCCACCATCACTTCCAAATTCCCCCTGCTACCCCTTGTCTCAAATCTCCATCTTAACCTTTAGATTGTAAGCTCATGGGCTATCTAACTAAGCACTTTGTATAAGAGAGCTTCAGTGGCTGGATCTGGGCTTTTGTAATGATATGGGTGTATTTTACCGTTACCCCTAATTGTACAACGCTGCGGAATATGTTGGTGTTTTATAAATTCCGGTAATAAAACAAATAAATAAATGTTAATTATTTTTGACTAGTGGCTGACTTCTGCTATCTATCAAGTAACACAGACAAGCGATTCAGTTAGTTGTGACAATGTAACTAGGAAGAAAATAAAACCATAAAAAAATCAAATAACCCTTATGCATACATTATATATTATATTCACATGCCAATAACTAGAAGATGCAAGATTTTAAAGGGCTACCCACTATTATGCTAACAATAATGAAATAATAAAATCATTGTCTCTGATCTCAGAGATGAGGTGGTTTTAAGTAAAATTAGTTATAAAGTTTATTGCGGTCAGACTGTTTGTCTATAAAGTCTGGTTCATCAGAGAACACGTTTTTCTAGCACACTGTTACAAACACTGAGCTGAAATAACAGCATTTTGTCATGTCAAACATATTGTAAAAACAAAATCTGCCGATAGGTGTGTCTCTCACACATGCAACCCCAGACATTGGGTCATTGGTTAGGGTGGCCCCCAGAAGACTTATCAGAAGTGGTTCGATGAATAATAAGGAGCAGGACTAAAGACGATGCACATTGCTTCAGGTGTGAGTTGGACTTTAAAAATGACACAACACAACTATCAGTGTCACACACATCATGGAGACAGGGCAGCTAGGGAAGGAAGGAGCAGCAAGGCTAGGCGCCAGTTAACGGACTTGGTGAGTGCTAAACGTCTTGCCCTGGACGCTGGCAACCCACGCTGCATCACTGCTGACGTGTGCGCTCTTCCTCTTTCCTGATGATCTTTGACCACGTGTGGAGACAACACTGCTGTTATTTTTTCATCTGTACCACTTGGTACATTAAATTGAGCACCACAACCCAAATTAGCTCATAGCACTAAATGCTGGAGATTATTAACACATTGTTTACTAGAAGTTCTGCTTTCTCTGTGCATACACTGGGGATCAGCTTAGTTTAGAGTAGACACTGATGTCAAACTTTACTGGTATTTGGGGTAAGGGAGGGAATTATATATATAAATATAAAAACGGCAATTTCATGAAAAGCTCATAAAATATAATAAAAAATTTTTTAAAGCCTATTATTATATATTACATAAGCTTGCCACAATGCCAATTTATCCCATTCTTGGCAGGTCCCACTCTATAAACCTAATGCCTGCTTTTATGAGATTAATTTACTTACTTGGGAAATCCTTCCTCCTGGGGCAAGGTTAAATAAGGCCCTGAGACAGGGAGAGGTGCAAAATATGGGAGGTGGCCTGGACTACCAAATAGATATTTTAAATGAAGAGGTCTGCAATCACCTTAACATGCGAACACTACAAGGACCCAGGGCTAGTGCTAAATTAAGTAATACCCTCTCTTTACTGTGTATGTTTAGAGTTCCGACCAGATTTCTTTTGGGTTGATCACACCGCCCCACCCCCTAGCTTCCGAGGCCGCTTTTGAGATGACCACAGGAAAGTATAATTTGTAGGAGGTTTTGGATATATCACTTTAATAATCAATTTCATCTGGTATAGAACAGATTAGTGATATGCATTGTAAGTATATACATAAAAGCACTATCACTTTAATTGTTTAGTTTTGACAATGCATTTCTGTAATGTGTTTTTCAAATTAATTTATTTAATTGTATATGCACAATGCCCTTACAACAGATTATTAAAATACACTTCAGGTTATGTAGCACTAGCACTATTTACCTCCCACGTTGGAATTAGTGTATCACCCACCACTATCTCCCACGTTGGAATTAGTGTATCACCCACCCCTTCAGGTTATGTAGCACTATTTATCTCCCACGTTGGAATTCGTGTATCACCCACCCCTTCAGGTTATGTAGCACTATTTATCTCACACGTTGGAATTAGTGTATCACCCACCCCTTCAGGTTATGTAACACTATTTATCTCCCACGTTGGAATTAGTGTATCACCCACCACTTCAGGATATGTAACACTATTATCTCCCACCCCTTCAGGTTATGTAGCACTATTATCTCCCACGTTGGAATTAGTGTATCACCCACCCCTTCAGGTTATGTAGCACTATTATCTCCCACGTTGGAATTAGTGTATCACCCACCACTTCAGGGTATGTAGTACTATTTATCTCCCACGTTGGAATTCGTGTATCACCCACCACTTCAGGTTATGTAGCACTATTTATCTCCCACGTTGGAATTACTGTATCATCCACCACTTCAGGTTATGTAGCACTATTATCTCCCACGTTGGAATTAGTGTATCACCCACCCCTTCAGGGTATGTAGTACTATTTATCTCCCACGTTGGAATTCGTGTATCACCCACCACTTCAGGTTATGTAGCACTATTATCTCCCACGTTGGAATTCGTGTATCACCCACCCCTTCAGGTTATGTAGCACTATTATCTCCCCACCGCGTTGGGTGGTGTACATCACTACCCTTTCAGGTTATGTAGCTTTAATACATCTCCCACGTTGATTGGTGTATCGCAACCCCTTCGGGTTATGCTTGGCACTATTTATCTCCGCGTTGGAATTGGTGTATCACCACCACTTCAGGGTAGGTAGCACTATTATCTCCCGCGTTGAGAGTAGTGTACATCGCCCACCTTCAGGTTATGTAGCACTATTATCTCCCACGTTGGAATTAGTGTATCACCCACCCTTTCAGGTTATAGCACTAGTATCTCCCGTTGGAATTAAGTGTATCACCAACCCTTCAGGTTATGTAGCCTGTTATCTCTCACATTGTTGAATTGATGTATCCGCCCACCCCTTCAGGTTGCCATAGCACTATTTATCACACGTTGGAATTGGTGTATCCCACCCCTTCAGGTGTAGTAGCACTATTTATCTCCACGTTGGAATTAGTGTATCACCCACCCCTTCAGGTTATGTAGCACTATTATCTCCCACGTTGGAATTAGTGTATCACCCACCACTTCAGGGTATGTAACACTATTATCTCCCACCCCTTCAGGTTATGTAGCACTATTATCTCCCACGTTGGAATTAGTGTATCACCCACCCCTTCAGGTTATGTAGCACTATTATCTCCCACGTTGGAATTAGTGTATCACCCACCACTTCAGGGTATGTAGTACTATTTATCTCCCACGTTGGAATTCGTGTATCACCCACCACTTCAGGTTATGTAGCACTATTATCTCCCACGTTGGAATTACTGTATCATCCACCCCTTCAGGTTATGTAGCACTATTATCTCCCACGTTGGAATTAGTGTATCACCCACCCCTTCAGGGTATGTAGTACTATTTATCTCCCACGTTGGAATTCGTGTATCACCCACCACTTCAGGTTATGTAGCACTATTATCTCCCACGTTGGAATTCGTGTATCACCCACCCCTTCAGGTTATGTAGCACTATTATCTACCACGTTGAAATTAGTGTATCACCCACCCCTTCAGGTTATGTAGCACTATTATCTCCCACGTTGGAATTAGTGTATCACCCACCCCTTCAGGTTATGTA